GGATGGCACGGTGCCTACCAAACGGCAGCTACTGAAGTTTATGATGAGCAACTTCGATCCATTGTGTTTACTCAGTCCGATTACGATACACCTGAAGATTATGTTCCAAGACCTGTGGCGGTTGCAATCCGGATGGGACGACGAAATTCCTGATAGCCTGGTCCCGAAATGCATGGAGTGGTTGAACGAAACTGCTAAGCTGGAAGAAATACGTGTTGCGAGGTGCTACTTCCCGGAGGTATCGTCCTTTGCCGATGCTGAGCTGCAGGCTTTCTGCGACGCAAGTGTGATTTACATGGTTCATCGTCGAAACGGCAAGTCACACGTTGCATTGGTGTATGCCAAGGCAAGAGTTGCTCCACTGAAATCATCGACGGTACCACGACTTGAACTTGAAGGGTGTGTTCTTGCAAGTCAAATGATGAAGGTAGTTCAAGACGAATTAAAAATAGAAGTTAATATGCAGTACTTCTGGACCGATTCCAAAATCTGCTTGAGTTGGTTGAAGACGAGTAAGAACCTCACGGTGTATGTTGGTTCTCGTGTCATGAAAATTAAGGAGAATGGTCATGGAGTTCCATCGCAGCTGAACGTAGCTGATTTGGCTACGAAGTCCTCCAAGTTTGGTTGTATGCAGGAATGGTTGAAAGATGCTGACTTTCTGTATCGGGATAATGTCCATTGGCCGAACAATGAACCGCTAGAGATGTCCTCTTCTGAGTTGGTAAATTTCCATACCGAAGTGATTGCTGATGTTTTCGTGGATCCAATGTGCTGTACCTTGGTTGAAGTTGAGTTGGTTGACCTTCCCGATATTGAGAGGTTCTCTGATTTCAATCGCTTGATTAGATCTACTGCGTACTACCTGAAAATGCGAAAGATTTTAGCACTGCCAAAGTGTGAAAAGCCTAGATGTTTGACAATCTCCGTGAACGACATGGATGAAGCTAAGAGTGCTTGGTACAGTCGGAAGTTTTCTGTGAAGATTTGCGCCGTCTGAATCAGACCGTATTCGTGAAAAGCAATAGTCGTTTGAATTCATAGTCGCCGTTTCTGGATAAAGGAATCATCCGTAAGCGAGGTCGTATGCAGGATGATGGAAAGTCGTTCAAAGTGAACAATCCTGTGATTCTTCCTGACAACCACCAGTTCTAGATAGAGCTGGAATTAGGGCGTAACAACCTTTGTAAACAATGACTTCTATCGATGATTTCTAGGAACTCAAGGCACGCCCACGCAAACCAACATAACCGTCAGATAGGGGAAGTCTTCCTCTACCAGATGGTATTGTTGATTTGCGTTGGCGAGCCTCAACTTTCTAGAAATCATCGAAAGAAGTCATTGTTTACAAAAGCTGTTACGCCCTAATTCCAGCTCTATCTAGAGTTTTCAACTCTACTGATTCGTATGTACCGTATCGCCAACGCACATCAAGGAATGTTAACAATATGTTCCGGATGACCTCCTGGACCCTGAACCGATAACACCAAACAATTGGCTTGGCTTGGTCGAAACAATTCAATCCAGTTCGACCATAACTTTGATGAACGAGATCTTAACTGTCGTGCTGCCTACAAGCATTCTTAGATCAACGCGGATCGTTTCTGGCGCAGGTGGATAGCCTCGTTCCGTCCGGAGTTGATCAGAAGCCGCAAGTGACCTGGAATTACCACGGTTATCACGTCGGGGATCTAGTGATGATAGTGGACCAATCGCTACACCGAGGAAGCTGGCCGAAAGGAGTTGTAGAGAAAATCTACCAAGGGCCGGATGGAAAGGTGAGAACAGTTGCAGTGCGGACATCAAAGTCGACCTGCAAAAGACCTGTAAGCAAGGTTGTGCTGCTACAAGCCATCAGCTCGGTTCCTGGCCCGGAGAATGTTGCTAACACTGCCAGGCTGAACTTTTCTACTCGGGTATCGCAGTCGTCGCGCGTAACCATAGCAACAAAATAATCATCGTAGCAAGCGGGTGTGAAAAAAGAGAGTGAAAAACTACAAGGGACAGCCCTATGGGGTTGTACGCAATGGTGACGTAGAACTACGTGGTCTTATATAATAAATCTTATTTGTTAACTGCAGCAGGAGCTTGTGTTCTGTGTAGGAATAGCGATTTGAGTGGGGTTCTCTCTGTTTATACTTTTTCGTATGACGCGCTTGACATAGATGACCCACAGCAACTCACGAAGAGCTACTGATTCCGATCAATAGCGGTGCGGCTTCTTCTTCTTTCTTTGGATGCTCATGTGGGCTGCAGCTTGCTGCTCCTAGACAGCCTTTCGTTGTGTACTGGATAACACCATCACTCACCACGCGGTGATTGAATGCACACCGTTTGGTGAGACCGGATGGAATTCAACTTTGAAATCTGTGTTAGGGAAATCGCTTTTCGCATGCAATCGGTGATAATTTAATTATCAAAGCAACAGTTGCACATTCGTGCAATTTTCAATAGCGACATTTTGAAGAATGATAAAGTCTTAAATTTACCAGATGCGTAGCAATAGATCTGATCGATTGGTGATGAAATTATTGAAATTGGTCTAGGGGCAGCTGAGTTATTAGCGTTCAAAATCTTTCATAATTTTGTTACATGTTCAATTTTCGGTTTTCACAAAGTGTACCCCCATATAGAAACCACAGACGTAGCCCTACGTCAAAAAGTTAGATGATTTGTCTCCAAGTTTGTAAAATAGTTAATCTCGTTGAAATTATTGTGCCAAAAAGTGGTCAGTTCGTGTCGTCTTTTGCTGATAAATAAATTGAAATTCCTTCCCCAACAAATAGCCTGGACATAAACTTCTGCAGACAGGTGAGTCAACGACCAGGACGATTGCTACAGATTGGATTGGATTTCATTATTTTGGAGGAATTTTGAGAACTTTGCTCTTCAATCGAGGTTGAATTGGAATTGGAGAAGTCAGTTCTATTGGCGAACAACTATTTCCAGGGTGGCCACTGAATGTTAGAAATTAAATTCCCGGTTTTTTCCCTGGTGCCCAACATGTTTGAAAAAAGGAATACATGCATGATTGATTTCAGCAACTATTTTAAAAGCAGAAAACTTGGAGAAACCCCGTATATAGAGAAACACATTTAATTTTCAGAAATTATTCATATTCTTAAGTTTCAATAACTAGCATAATTTAGATAATTTTCTGAAGTTCAAAATTTGGAATGTTCTTAAATGTCTAAGAATTCGGAAATTTATCTAAGTTGCACGTAAATTATTCGAAGGCCACAAGACCGAATCGTTGTAAATGTTGATCTCTTAATTGATCAATGAGAAATTCTGCAAGAAAATATGGATAGTAATCCCAAAGGAATCTAATTTTTAATACAGTTCAAACATTAATATGTATAAAATCATATTTTCTAAGAACTCTGAGTAGTCGGGAATTCTATGGAGAATTTCATGAGAATTTGTAGAAAATTCTAAGAGCTACTTCTTAAGAGCATTTTGCGAAGCCTTTCATGGAAATTTTGAGGAAAACTTGTGTGGAATTCTGTGGTGAAATTCAAGGAAATTTTAGGATAATAATTTTCAAAATTCTTAGTGGTGGTCCAAGATATTTCAGGAACATTCCGAGCATTTTGTAAAGAATAGAATGAAGATAATATAAAGTAAATTCTCGCAAGAGGGATCTCTTAAAGTTTTCTACATAGAGTTTTGATTTTTTTGGAGACAATGTACAAGGAATACCGGTCAGAAACACAAGATTATTGAGTGAAAACTGAAAGTTAAAGTAATTCTGAAGGCATTTTGAAATGGTCTCAAGGAAATCTATATCTCAAGATATAATTTACTTAAGACTGTTTCATACAAGCGTTCATTTCGACCTCCTCAATGAGGACCCTGGTCTTAAAAAATTGTCCGAGATTATGAGGCTAGAAAATCTTAAGAGAAATAATTAAAATTCCGGACAAATTATTTACAAAAATGCTATGTTAAAGCTCTCCCGGTTATCTCGGTTCAGTATCCACCTTGTGTTCCGATTTGCTCTCGAAGTAACGAGAGAATGACATGTCAGCGACTTCTTTCTGCTTCGAAAAAGTTACTCTGAGTTCTCTACGTGGTTGCTGCCACTAATATGTGCCTGGAAATGCTGGAAAAATCATCAAATCCCAAACAAAGACATCAATTTCAGATATCAAAATTCTGACGCTTTCTGTCTGTCTTGCGCAAGTTGTGCAAGTAATCATTCCGAATACAAATACTAAAATCAACATTTTTAGACATGGTTGATGTGCATCATTTCCAATGCGATTATACAAAATCTAATTTACTGTGAGTTATGAAAAGCCAGCCACATGAAACAACCATTTCAACCGATATTCCGAACCGTAAAATCCCTTTGGAAAACCGCTCAATTGTCCACCGGGATTGACATCGTCCAAAGGCGACAACAACCACGGCGACTCAGACGCGCCCATCGACGCAGACCGGCTCGCCAGTAGAACCGGAGAAGAGGATCAAGTGCATTGATCTCGGCAGTCACTTTCAATAAAACCGCGATCGACCACCACCACCGCCAGCAAAACCGCAACGAAAATCGTTCGAACCTCGTCTGGACGTGGCTGCCGGCCAAAACCGTATTAATATATGCAAGAGTGACGGACTGATCGTCCTACAGCTTGGCCAGCCATCGTCCACGGTCTGGGGTTCGGTCGGGGTTGTTCGCAAGAACGCAAAACCAAAACACCGACGGCAGTTTGGTTCGTTTCTTTTTGTTTATGCTGCGCCCGGTCAAGAATTTTTGCGTGATCCGGGATTGTTAGTTCAGCCTGTCCCGGCGCGGAACAACCGTCCACCGTCTCGATAAGCGGTCTGGACGATGGGGGGGGGATGGAAGGAGAGCAAAAATGTTCTGCAAATTTTTGCCTGACACTCGATTCGCTTGTTTTTCGGTCGGTCGAAATTTCGGTTATTTTTCCTACAGGTAATTAAATTGTTCATGATCCGTGTTTTGGGGAATTCCGTAGAATCCTGAGAGCACGTACCTGTACACTATTGCCACCGCTGTAGCCGTAGACGTTCTGGTACAGAACTAGAGTCATGTAGATCAGGAAGGTGCCGGCCGCCATTGCTTGCAGGGTCCGTTTGTATCGAAGGGACAGCGAGAAGACCTGGCTCATCTTCTTCCTAAGGCACCTCATAGAAGCTGCTTCGTGCTGCCCGTCCTCCGCAGGGACAGTAGCATTTTGACGTGCAGCAACGAGGAGCGGGACAACCTGGACGGACGCCAGACTGCGAACTGTTTGTCCTTTAATCCCGCTTTGTTACGTGTGTCGTTAATCCAAGCGTTCTCCGGCTGTCACAATTCTTCTCATTCCATCAATCACCACCGAAAACCGACTCTTACACAATGATCATTACTTAATCAACAGAAAACCACAATCTGGTACCATCACAACACAACCCCCTGCTCTTCCATTTGACAACAATCAAAAACACAAACACCGAAGCTCTCTCTCTCTCTTTCGAGTACGAATCACCACTTTATTCCATTAAGATAAATGAACCCTCTTCGATCCGCGCCCGTATGACGACGATAACGATTGAGACATTCCACGCCGAAAAACACCACCAATAATCCCCTTTTGAACGTTCGGCAGTTGTTGTCGCTTCACGGTTCACGTCACACCATCATCATCCTCCTTCTCCGGTAAATGCGTTCGATGTGGGTAAATAAACCACGGCGTCCCGGCGCGATGCTCTGACTGTAAACAAACCACTTCGCGATCACTGAAGTGTCAAACTCCCGTGCACAATAGTCACCCACTCACGATCGCTGCTATTGTTGATCACTCACAGTTATTGCGAAAATATCGTCCCCACTTTTTCACGTTTTCAAAAGTTTGCCTCTAAGCCACTCGCGCACGCGATCGTCGAGAAAATTTCCGGTGGGAAGAACAATCGGAAGCGAAAACTCACGAAACGCAGAAACACCTTCCGAAGGCAAACGACAAGCAGAGACTGATCGTTTGCTTTTCATGGTTTCGTGTCGGCGTGGAGTGAGCCGTGGTAGGTATTCTCTCTCCCGCCCGTGGTTCTCTCTTTCTCCGGATTTTTATCACACGGCAGAACACTATAGAGCGAGTGTGTGGTTCTTTTGAATCAAACAAAAAAACAACATTCAAACTGGATCAACCGGTGTGTGGTGTGTGCAGTGCGACGAAAGATAAACACCGTGCGACGAGAGGAGAGAATAGGACTCGCTCTCACCATGGACCACGATCGGTTGTTATCGTTTTGAGCACGGTTGAGCTGAGCGGAGGGTGGACGTTTTTGAAAAACTGCTGCGTTGTTATAGGGGAGAACAGTCCACAATGCACCCCCTGGGTGAAAATGGTCACGAGCGGTTTTTCGTTTCTTTCCCATTTATGCGATTTGCTAGTTCTAGTTTACTAGAACTGTACTAAAAAGTAGTCAGTAGAATGTAAACAGGGCGTTAGCATCTAGCAGCATGAGATTTCAGGAGCAACTGAAATTCGTGCTAGTTGAGCTAGTGAACTAGCAGAAGTGTAAACAACCCATTAGTACTAGTTATGGCATGGTATTTTATGTGCCAGAATGCTAGCCCTAATACAATTTAAATGATTGTTTAGCTTAACGACGTGTTCAGGGTATCATACAAACCATTTATGGTATTATTTTTTTTTACTATGGATTTCAAATCTCAGTGAATATTTAAAAAGGTCCTATCTGCTTTGATCGATTCTCTTCATCGACTTCAACTTTTGATAACCAAAGTCAACGAAATGCTTAGAGCAACCGCACCAATGCGTTGCTAAAGCTATTTTAGCCACCTCCACCATAACGCCGTAACCGCACTGGGGGTTGCTATTCATGTGCGGGAAATAACAATCCGTCACTCGGTGAACAGCGGATTGACAAATATAGCAGCACGATAGCAACCGGCCCAAGCGTGGCTATCTATGAAATTATTGTTTTGTTTTTCATTTGAACAATGTGATATATTAATGAATTTGGATCTGGGACAAAAATGTGGACCCAAGGGACAGCAAAGCATCCTCTGGAAGACCCGGAACATCCATAAATGGTGGCCATGGAACGGTCCTTCGAAAGATCCGGAACATCCGTAAAGGGCGCCAATTCATAGAAACGATCCTAGAGCTTTACTTAGATCACTTATTTTGATGCTAAATTAATGAATTTGGATCTGAAACCAGCATGCGAACTCTGCTGGCCACAACCCGGTGTGTAGGGAGGTCTGGACCATGCGTAAAAGTGACCAATTAATAAAAAAAAAAGATTCAAGAGCTTCACGATTCTGAAGCTACATGTATGAATTAGGATCTAGGACTAGCATATGTAATCAGGTAGCGGTGTGGTTCTCTGGAAGATTTTGAACATCCACAAAAGTAGACAATTCGCGTAAAAATCCTAGTTTTACTTCCGTAAGGTTTTGAATCTTTCGTGAAGTTCATTAAATCTTCTATTGTTCCGGAAATTTTAATCATATTTATCAAATTTCGTGAAGACCTCGCATTGTTTCTGAAGTATCGCAAAATTCATGAAATTCTTGAAATATCCCATAATTCCTTTGAGTTCCTTGAAATATCTTGCAATTTTCCTTAAATAAATGATACTGATATGAAGATCTCCAATCATCTACGAAGTTCCGAGAACTTCCCAAAATATAATGAAACTACCAAAAAATCTATATACTTCTCTGAAGGTTGTCGTGACCTGACCGAGGTTTCCAGCCTCGGTCGATTGCCTCAACAAGAACGCAATGTAAACACGACCGTTCGCTCATAGAATGGTCAAATAACTAACTCGAGACTGTCAAGCATCCCAGGCTCAAGCTTCGCTTGGTTTATATGTGCATGCATGTGAGTATGTTTTTTTAAACAAATTTATTGCAACACGCTAAGCATAAACTTACTCATATTTAAACAAGAACTACCCACACTTATTATTATTATTTCTTGCTCAACTCTATCTACCACATTCTTCCCCTCCTGTACTCTTAATGGAATAGACGAGTTCAATAGTTAAGTTGATTGTTTTTGCAGCCTCATCATTTCATCCGTCAATCAAGGTTGCAAAGACTCATTTCAGCTAAAACAATGTTTTTCTAAATTATGAAATAATTAGATGACATGATCAAATTTTGAATTGGTAGGATACAAGAAGAGGTTGCAAAGAATGTGTTTGACATATTAAACCTGTTTATTTCACTTCATGAGAGTCACAATCAGCGATTTTTCACAAACTCACTCACTCACTCACTCACTCACTCAGCGATCAGCAAATCGCTGATTGTGACTCATAGAAAGCAAAATTTACAGGTTTTATGTTTCCAACGCATACTTTGTAACCTCTTCTTGTAAGTTACAAGTAAAACATGCCATCATACCATCTTTTGGTTTTATTATTCCGAAAAACATTATTTTAGCTGAAATGAGTCTTTGCAACCTTGCCGTCAATGTCATCCAATTCTTATACTTCTGTATACTTCTACATGAAAAATATCACTTTGGGTAGTAAAGTCTATGTTTTCATCTTAAATCTATATGTGAATCAAAATGTCATCTGAGAATCCATTATTCGATCGAAGTCCTAATTATTTCCAAAATTTCCACTGAGAATTCCATTATCCCTGAATAACTAACTTTTTTAAAAGTCAGAACTTTAATTATTCAGATCGATAATCTAATTTGCTTTATCTAATATACATTTTTATTAAGAATGTCATCGTAAGCAGTCGAAACATATCCAATTACAACTAAATTTATGTTCAATACTCAAATTCGTCTGATTACGCTCCATTTGAAAATCGTATTGAGTAGCAAATTTTTTCGGCGTACCAGCTTCATAAACGCGCAAAGAAAAGCCATAGCTTCCATTATTAAGTATATCATCCAATTCTTATACTTCTAAAATTTCACTCTTGACAGTCTATTCCATGCTTATCTAAGTATATCAGACTCAATATCCAAGCCTCAAAGTCGTCTAAAAATCCTACATTCGAATGTCCTAATTCTTAGTTCTCATTAACTAGCCAGTTTTTTTTGTGAGCTTGCCAAGCTCTTAAAAACGCAATGTAAAGCCAGAACTTTAATGATTTAGAAAGATTATTAAACTCTCAAATACTTAACTCTAGGCAGTCAAGTCAATGCTTACTGAAGTACATATGAATCTATAGAACACAGTATAAAAAACCCAAAGTTCGATTATTCAGAAAGATGATTTAACGAAATACAAGTCATTTCAAGTCTTCTACTCAAAATTCACTCTAGACGAGCTGGTAAATGTAAATTGTCACTGCAAAGATGTTACTACTAGTGTTACTACTTAAATGTATCAGGGGGAAAATATTCCGACATTTTCCTTGTAACATTTTCAAGGAAAGCTCTTGACACACACGTCAATGTTAATCAAAGTACATCTGAATCAATATTCAATCGTCTTATTTTGAATGTTAGTCATTCTAAATTCGCATAGATTGACTAATATTATTTATCAAGCTCATTCAAACACACAATAAAAGTCAGAACTTCAATTATTCATGAAGATTATTTCCATCTCATTTAAAATCCAATACTTAAGGTAGTCTGTAAATTGTCCATTTAATCAACGAAAGATCAAATTTTTTTCTCTTACTATAGCAATGTTCCAACCCACTCAGGGGTTGGATTTTGTTAGAACAAACTAGGGTCTAGGGTCAACTAAAAGACATGGTAATCCCGAGACTAATCCACACAAGTACGCAATATGCGAGGCAATATGTTATCAAACCACCTTTCATTAGCGCAACATTCTACTCTATTTTAAAAATATCTGTACCGTACTCTAAGTTATCCAATTGAGCAATCACGCGCTTGCTACATTTTTCAACTTTCATTAATTCTCAGACTTCTCATTTTGAATACCGTCCCTGTTTGGATGATTTAATCCGAGGATTATACCAGTTGAAGCTCACCACCATTTATGTTGCACACGAAGAGCATTGATAGTAGTTTTTAATATAAAGTTTCTATCAGTCAATGTTAGTCAAAAAATCGATTCAAAACACAAGAACGCTCAATGCTACTGAAAATCAACCGTAAAAAACGATTAAAAAATGGGATCGCTCAATTATGCTCAGGGTTCTGCCATCGCAGCCGAGACTCGTTTGTCAATTTTCTTCCGCTCATCTCCGAACGAAATTCACATTATTTGCCAAACCTTTTTGTAAGTTAGCTTTCTTTCTCTCTCCCTCTCTTTCTCTCGGCCAACTCCACTGCCTTTTCCATCAGGGAGTCTACCGGAGATGCTTTCCTCCACCGCCCTTCCATCGGGGAGTTTATTATTTTACTATTTTTAGTCTTTTAGTCTCCCGGCCTACTCCACTGCCCATTTCTGTCAGGGAGCCTACCGTAGACACCTTCCTCCTCCGAACCTTCCGTCGGGGAGTTTGTTGTGATTTTTTTTCATCTTCCTGCCTACTCCACTGCTCTTTTCCGTTCCTACAGGAGACACTCCTTCGTCAGGGAGTATGCTTTGCTTTTTTTTTTCGTCTCCCGGCCTACTCCACTGCCCAATTCCGTCAGGGAGCCTACCGGAGAAGTTTTCCTCCAACGTCTTTCAGTTGGGAGTTGGTTTTTTTTTCTCTCGTCTCCCGGCCTACCCTGCTGTCATTATCACTAGCGAGTTTACCGGGGACGTTTACTCCTCCACCAACCTTGCGTGGAGGAGTCTGATTTTCTTTTATTGCCCTATACTTACTAAAATCACTAAGGTAACTATAACCAAGGTTGCAAAGACTCATTTCAGCTAAAATAATGTTTTTCGGAATAATAAAACCAAAAGATGGTATGATGGCATGTTTTACTTGTAACTTACAAGAAGAGGTTACAAAGTATGCGTTGGAAACATAAAACCTGTAAATTTTGCTTTCTATGAGTCACAATCAGCGATTTGCTGATCGCTGAGTGAGTGA